CATAACCCAATATATCACAAACTGAACATAGACGTTAATGATACACAATTTGGTTTTCGCAAAGGCCTAGGAACGCGTGAAGTTCTTTTTTTACTTTACATACTGATACAAAGATGCCTGTACGCCAATCAAGATATATAGGCATGTTTTATTGACTATAATAAAGCATTCGATAAAGTACGACATGAACAGTTAATGAATTTCCTAAAATCAAAGAAGATTGACTACAACGACTTCAGGATCATATCAAATTTATACTATAAACAGCGAGCAAAAGTACGTGTTAACGAACAGCTGTCAGAAGAAATTGAAATTAGATGTGGAGTAAGACAGGTATGTGTATTGTCTCCAATTCTTGTTATTGCCTACTCTGAAGAGATCCTGAAAAAAGCTCTTGAGGGTCAAACAGCTGGAATAAAGGTAAATGGAGTTCCCATTAACAACATTAGATACGCGGACGACATTGTGATCTTAGCCGAAAATATTGAAAATCTTCAGAGACTGGTGACCAGAATAGCGGAGTATGGAAAAGAGTACGGTCTAACAATGAACGTCCAAAAGACGAAATTTAATAGTGGTATGTACAAGGGATTTAAAATTTTAAATAAGAGTTAGGTTGGCAGGGTGCTATGTTTTTTCAACTTTGTTTTATGGAATGGAATCTTGCGACATCAATGAAAAAACTGGAATCGTTAGAGCTGTGGGTGTATAGAATTCTGAAAATATCATAGATAGAAGACGTCAATTTGGCTTCCGAAATGGATTTGGGACACGGGAAGCATTAACCAGTTTTATTATATTGCTGCAAAAATGTCGAGACCAAAAAAAGGATCTCTTTTTATGTTTTATTGACTATCAAAAGGCCTTCGACAAAGTAAAACATGATAAGCTGATGGATTGCCTTCACAAAAAGGGACTAGACGAGAACGATTTTAAAATTATCCAAACGCTGTATTTTAACCAAACTGCAGCAGTTAGAACAGAAGCCGGTGACACAGAAATATTCAATATCAAGCGAGGTGTACGACAGGGGTGTGTATTGTCACCACTACTTTTTAATATATATTCGGAAGAAATCTTTGCACGAGCACTAGAGCAATCAAGAGAAGGTGTTAAAATTAACGGCAGAGTTCTAAATAATGTACGATACGCCGACGACACGGTCCTAATTGCAGAGAGCGCACAGGATCTCCAGACACTCTTAGATCGCGTCAGATTGACTGGAGAACAATACGGCCTCAGCATTAACGTCAAGAAAACAAAAACAATGATTGTCTCCAAAACATCCTTCCATCCACCCATGGCTTTAAACGTGAATGGTAACATTATCGAAAATGTCGAGAAATTTCGATATCTAGGGTGCTGGATAACGAAAGATATAGATCCAGACATAGAAATAAAATCGCGAATTGAACAAGCAAGAAATGTCTTTTTAAAAATGAAACAAATGTTTACGTCCCAAACACTCAATCTCAAAATCCGATACCGAATGCTGAAATGTTACGTTTACAGCACCTTATTATATGGAATGGAGGCCTGGACCTTCAAAATCAACTCACTAAGGCGTTTGGAAAGTTTTGAAATGTGGTTATTTCGAAGGATGCTGAAAGTCCCATGGACAGCGCATATGAGCAACGAGCAGGTCCTACACAAGATGGGTACCGACAGAGAACTCTTAAAAATAATGAAAACACGGAAAACCTCATATTTGGGACACATATACAGAAATGAGAAATACCAGCTACTGCAGCTTCTTATAGAGGGGAAGGTAGAAGGAAAACGTGGTCCTGGTAGACGGCAGGCGTCCTGGTTGAAGAACATTCGTGAGTGGACTGGTTTGGATTCTCAATCTTTAATAAGAAAAGCCAGGGACAGAAACGATTTTGCTAAGGTTATCGCCAACCTTCATTGAAGACGGCACCCAAAGAAGAAGAAGAAGACGTCACAAACAAAGAGTTTCTCAGAAGGATGAATAAAGAGATAGAAATTTTAAATACAATTAAAACAAAAAAATTGGAATATCTCGGACATATTGTAACGGGTAGCTCTTTCGGGACGACAGACTCAGTAAAACACAGGTTGAAATAAAAAAAAATCTATTGTTTTAACGTATGTACAATAAAAAATAGAAATAAAATTAATTCTCCGCCGTATATACAATAAAAATAAAACGAATTCTTCGTCCCCGTCTGGATCCCGCGATGAAGGAATCCCCGGCGAACGTCTATAAAAGAAAGAAAAAGTTATTATTAGTAACAGAACAAATAAAATAGATGAAGTCAATCGCACGCAGACTTGTGCTCGCTTCCGCTTCAATTCAGCGGGAGTTCCGAACACACTCGCAAATTCGGCTATGCAGGCTCCATGGTAAAGTTCAATACAGAATACCGATGGGTTCTGCTTGGTTAAGGACAAAGTATGATCCTCAATACGGAAATATCTCCGGGTTGGCTCGCCGGTTCAGTACACCGGCGAATCGAGGAGCCTAGAGCGCTAGCTACAAGACTGACTAATTCCGCTACTCACATGCCTTAAATAGACTAAAATTGGACTCTTCCAATACAATATTACAATATTAGGAATCATAGTCCAAGTTAACTTTCAAACTTTTTAAAAATCCTTTGAATTTATGCAACTGCAATTATTGGTCTATTAGAATATCTTATGCTAAATATGAATCTGTCAGTACTCGCACTATTGCCGGATAAACTTTTTCATTTTTTTTTATTTTATTTCTTTTTAAACAATAAATTATAAAATAAAAATAGTGACAATTCAAATATTGTTAACATCTAACTTTATTATGCCAAACGCAACCTGTTGTACACATTCTGTACTACGTGTTGCATAACTTTCGCAACAATACTCTAGCAAATGTATTTTTGCAAAATTTTGGGAATGTGTTTAATTCGTAGAACAATTTTAAGATTTCCTTTTCTATGGCCCGTTTGACGATTCACCACCCGGTATATAATACACCAACCATATTCTATGTACAAGATACATTACTTAATTTCAAATATTGCGAAAATAGATATTATTTATTAGTTAAAAAAAAGACAAAGCACTTCTTTGTTTCTTAATTAAGTAAATTATATGTTAAGCTAATAGGTCTTCTTTTATTTGGAGTATAATTACAACAAAGATAATTTATAGTTGTGTTCAAAGCATACCATACAATTTGAAACATTTATCCACAATTTTACCAACCAGATGTAAGTTATGAGTCTCTTATTAATGAATCAAGTGGTACATCAACCAAAACACAACTGTTTTAAATTTCTGGTATAGATTTTAAGTGTTTTGTAACAAGTATTATTTTTAATTTCATTAATAAACACTTTATACATTAGAAACAATTCGTATAAAAATTAGTAACGCCTTCTTCTTCTTAATTCAAGAGATTGGGCAGTTTTTGCTGATTGTTCCTGTATAAAACTTAAATCCATCTCTTCAAGGGGACTCTTATTGTTTACTTTTTCATTCTTTTAGTTTGTAATTTCATATTTGTTGTGTTCATTTTTTTTACTACTTAATTTTTTAATTGGTCTATTAAATATATATATCAGAACGCTACATCAAGTATACGACTGCACGAAGACACAGAAAAATTCAGCTTAGGTCGAGGAGTTAGACAAGGAGACAATATTTCACCAAAATTGTTCACGGCAGCTCTAGAGTCAATATTTAACACTCAATGGCAAGATATGGGCATCAATATAGATGGAGAAAGATTAAATCACCTAAGGTTTGCAGATGATGTTGTATTAATCGCAGATAACTTACATGATACAGTTTCTATGATGCATTCGCTTAAAAGTCTGTCTGAAAGAGCAGGATTAAAGATAAACTTTGAGAAAACTAAAATTATAAAAAATCTCGTAATGAGTGGAAATATAACTATTGACAATAATACCATACAACAAACAGACACTTACAAATATCTGGGACACGAAATCAAAATAAGCAGAGACAATCAAACACATGAAATACAGAGGCGAATAGGTCTAACATGGGCAGCATTTGGCAAATTAAGCCATATTCTAAAAAGTTCAATTCCCATGTGTCTCAAGCGAAAGGTTTATAACCAATGTGTTTTACCTGTACAAACTTATGGAGCAGAGACTTTAACACTCACGCAAAAATCTGCGAATAAACTTAGAGTTACACAACGAGCCATGGAACGTGCAATGCTGAACGTGAGCCTTCGAGACCACATAACAAACCAACAAATCAGGGCGAAGATCAGGAGTTCAAGACGTCATCGAAAGAACCACGACGCTTAAGTGGAACTGGGCAGGGCACTTAGCCAGAACACAAGATGGACGGTGGACAAGACGTATTATGGAAGGGAGGCCCAGAAATTATAAAAGAAGCCGAGGACGACCACCGACTAGATGGACCGATGACATTAAACGTGTAGCGGGAAACTGGCTACAAGCGGCCCAATGTAGAGAACAATGGAAAGAACTGAGGGAGGCCTATGTCCAGCAGTGGACGCGATTGGCTGATTGATGATGATGATGATTAAATATTTAGCTCTTATCTTTCGTTTTCATTTCACGTCCGTATAACAGAGTAGGTGCGGCCATTTTTCCTTCTAAAGTTTTGTCTTTGTATCTGTGTTCTTCAGTGTTCTGTGAATTTTTCTGCTTATGTATTGAAACCTGGCCATTGTTTTTATCAATATCTTTCTCCAAACTTGTGTTACATCTTATTTTCAGTTCCTTTTTGCTGTATTGGTGCTAACTGTACTCAATTTATTGGTCTTGAATTGAGGATTGGTATCCAAATAAATGTTGGTTCAAAACAGTTGATAATTTTATGATAAGTTTATGTACACTTGGATTCTCATTAATTAAAAATATATTATAGGCTCGTTAATATGACTTTTATGGACCACGAAATTGACTGATAGTAAATGAAATCATGTCGATTAAAAAACTACTTAAAATAAAGTGAAATGTGAACTATAGTGCTTTAAAAAACGAACAATCTTTTATCTGTGATAGTGAATCCAAAAATAATGGTTTTTCAAGAACCCTGACATCTTCAAAACACAAAACCTACTGACGTTATTCCCCATTAATAAGAATCTCAATTCTCATTTTCAATTAAAATAGAAAAATTTTAAATTATACGATGGAACAATGACCAATTCCGTCATGCCTGTATCGACGGTATACGACGGTTTTGCAACCATCCGCAGACCTAGAATAGGTCCTCCAAGAAATCCACCACGACCTCCTTCCTTAGCCAGCGTTCCGGAAGATTCTACGGGAATCTCGCAAGTTGTTAACGGTTTTACTACCTTAAACGGACACTACAGACACTCCACGGGTTCTGGAAACGGCCTAAATGGCTTTCACAGCTACAATGAATTAAGGAATACTTTGAATGGTTTCCACAGCAAGTCACTGGAAATGAAAAATGGTCTGAACGGCTTCCACAGTAAGTCCACAGATTTTAGGAATGGTTTTAATGGGTTCCATTACACCGACAAGGATGCTGTTAATGGTTTGAATGGAAGTTGTGGTTGCGTTTCGCCTGTTGGTAATCCTAGTGTTCCTTGGTGGGAATTGGCGACGAGGAAGAGTAGGTACAAGTCTTGTCCAAGCCTAGAAATTAATGTAAGTACACTTTGGTTATGATTTGTAAAAAATGTGCTATATTTTCTTGTACTTGTACGGATTAATATTTATTGTAGCAGATTGGTGCGTAAAACCATGATATTTGCTATTATTTCTGTAGATAAATTTGTAACCGTTTTGAATTTTTCGTTCGTTGGATATTTTTGATTCATTCAAAGCATCCTTCCTAGTCGAAGCATTCCAGTTTCGTTAATTTATCTGTTTAATATCCTTCATATGGAAATAGAATGTTGGAGAGAAACGTGGAAAGATCCACTTTGAAAACTAATCTCGAAAAAAAAACCATTATTATTTATTATTATTATTATAACATAAACAAGGGCAGAGGAACTAAGTCCCTATTATGCCCAAAAACAAAGAAATTTCATTAATCACCTACTAGTAAATAACAAAAATTACAAATAAAAGAAATAAAATTACAATTTTATGGTTTAAAAAAAAACAATATTTTAACTATAATATAAAACTGTCAAGTCTGTTTTTGAACGAGTTGGTAGAGGAAGCGGAGACAATGTTATCGTTGAGGTTATACCAGCACTCAAAAACTCTATTTGGAAGAAAGTTCTGTCTTTGTCTTATAGAAAAATTTTCTTTCTTTAGTTTATACTGATAACCTCTGAAGCGTTCATCTTGATTTATGATAAATATTTCATCGAGGTTTCCAAAATTGAATTTTAGTATTTTAAATGTTGTAATTAAGTCTCCACGTTGTCGGCGAAGTTCAAAAGTAGTTAGGTTAGCCATACTAAGTCTGCATAAGACGGTCTTCTCGGTCCCAAAGAAATTCGAGTGGCTTTTCTTTGAACGTTTTCCAACAGAGTCTTGTCTCGAACCAGACCAGGATACCACGGTGGTCCAGCGTATTCAAGTATGGGTCTTACGTACAGAGTGTAAAGTTTGCAAAATGATTGCATTGAAACTCTCGAAAAATATCTCCGAATAAGATACAGTCTGGAGTTTGCACGTTTACAAATAGAGGTAATATGGTCGGACCAAGTTAGGCTGCTGTTACAAGACAAGTGGGTTATTTTTGCCAATTCGAAGCACTACAAATTTTTCCGCGTTTAAGGGTAGTAACCACTGGGAACACCAAGTTAAAATAGAGTCCAAGTCCATTTGGAGGGTTAACTGGTTTGTGTTTGGATTGGCATATATAAGACATAATAAGGAATATCGCTGGTGTAAACCGTAAAAAGCAGAGGTCCAAGGACAGAACCCTGAGGCACTCTACTTTCCACTAACCTGTCCTGTGAGAAAGATTCGCCAACTCTAACTTTGTAATATCGATCTGTCAGGAAATCATCTATCCAACGAAGTAAAGTACCGCGAACTCCGAAATGTTCTAGCTTATGTAGAAGTCTGCGCTTAGGTACACGATCAAAGGCTTTAGAAAAATCTAGATAAACAACGTCGACCTGCTGCGAACTGTTAAGGGACGACGTCCAGTCGTTAACACAATGTAGGAGATTGGTTAGAGTAGAGCGACCAGAGACAAATCCATGTTGTTGTGTTGGAATAACATGTTCCTGGAGAAGAAATTTGGTCATCTCCTCGGAAATAATGGCTTCCATAACTTTGGCAACTACTGGCAGCAAGCTAATCCTACAATAATTGTTCGGGTCGAGTTTGTTGCCTTTTTTAAAAATAGGGGTAACCGAAGCTAATTTCCAACTAGGGGGTAAGGAGTTCTGGATGAAAGAAGTTTGCATAATTAACGCTAAGGGTATTGCAAGCGTGTATGCGCACCTTTTTAACAGTTTTGGTGTTAAACCATCTAAACCAGGTGAAGCGGCCGTGCGAAGTTTAATTAAGTGTTGTTTGATATAATCCACTGTGAATTCAACTTGCTGTAAGTATGCGCTGACACGATTACAGTTAATAGCAGGTAGATAACCATCATTTAATTCTTTTGTAAAAACCTGTGAAAATGCTAAAAAGAGAATTTCGGAAGATTCTTTGTCAGAAGAGCATAAAGTCTGATTGGGTTGAAGTAGCGGAATGGAAACTTTAGATGTCATGGAGGAACGTATGTATTTATTTTTTAATGTTACCACTTTCAATAACGTTTGTTTCAAAATTTTGTCTTAGGGTTTTTGGAGATGTTTTTAAATTATTTAAAAATCTGCGGTGGCTTTAGAAATCACTAAGAAGCCCGGTGTGTTTAAATTTTTGCCATAGATGTCGTTTGTGATTAATTTGTTTAATTGCTGTTCGATTTATCCAGGGTTTAAGGTTGTTTTTATAACTCTTACGGAAAATAGTATTTGTGGAAATTATATCGTGGACTTTATCGAGAAATGCAGTCCACATTAATGAGGGGTCGTTTAAGTCTGCAAAAAATAAATGCCAGTCAATTTGAGAGAGTTCAGTGTCAACTTCAGAAAAGTCGGTAGTAGCATATGTTACAATGTTATTTTTGCGGGGTAATATATGATTGAACTGGATGTGAGCCGTTATAACTGCATGATCTGACTTTCCTATAGAAGAACTGACTTCGAGAGATGAAATCAGCTGTTCGTCATTAATAAGCACTAGATCTAAAGTAGAAGGTTGATTATTATTCCTAAATCTAATAGGTTCTGTAATGAGTTGTATCAGGTTCATCAATTTACTACAAAGCTTTTAAATAAATTATGAGCGTTTTCGGCGTCAGATAATGAAGTAATAGTTAATACCTTAACCAAAATTGTAAGCTTTGATACTTCTGGATTATTCTAGTAAAACTAACACTTAAAATTCCATTGCCAAGAATTCCATTATTTAACATTTTTGCCAATTATCACCAAATGTGAGTAGGTCAAAAACGATTTTCTAACATGTGTTAATTTAAAATCAAGTCTAATGTAATACGTACTAGCCCAAGGCACTCAATGACAATACTGAATAACTAACAATATTTAATTATTAATAGACTTTGAAATTGAAGTCGCAGTAGTTTGTACGTCCGTAACAAACGATTATTCTCATTAAGTAATTTCTATAAAAAATTTGCATTTTTGCGACGTAAAGTTTAATTTTAGATCTGCGAAATACGAAGTTGATTTAATGGCTTTTTTATAGTCAATTAAAGCAATTTAAGATAATTTATAAGATTTTATTGGTACATATTGTTAAAAAATTGAATAATATGGCAAATCATATTAACTAAAAGAAGATTTTATTGATATAGATTTTTTACAAACTGAATAAGATGGCAAAAGTGTTTAGCCAAGAGGCAAGAGACCCCCATATATAACTCTTAATTGGTCTATTCTTTGATAAATCATTATGTTAAAGACTCTATTTATGACGTAGATTTAAAAAACTCGCCACCCACGCATTACAAAAGAATACTCTTTCAAAAATTAGATATCAAATATCTCCGCATACCAAACAAAGGACTACAAATATTTTAAGGGACAAGGGACTGATATGAAGGATGGCATCAAAGTGCATCGCATGACATTTAATGACATGCCAAGGGTTGATTAACCCCTATTAAAGGGTGCGGTCTCGTTACTTTTTTTTAAGCTACTCTTGTGTCGGATTTAATGCATCCAAGGTGCGGTTTATTATCGCAACGAGGGCCCCGGGGGATTTTTGCCAAGTTTATGTGTGTGAGCAATTAAAACAATGTTTTTTCTTCATTATATGGTCATTTAGTAGGGAGAAGGTGGTAATACGTATGGAATTGCATTTTGTTTCTTTAAAGGAATATTTGTATATCGTTCCGAAACTATTTTCTTGTGGCATCTTAACACAATTTGTTATTTTTACTGGGATTAAGTCAGAATTTTACTTAAAAGAAGTTTATTTTGATATTTCGATTTCCACTTCGGAAATCGTTCTCAAAATAAAACTTTGTTTAATATTTGTAAAAATGTAGGTAAACAACTTTGTTTTTTGTAAAACAACGCATTTTTCAATGTTATGGGGAAGTAGCCATTCTGAGAACCATTTGAATATTGCGTCAAGATCTTGTTGAAGAACATGTTGGTTAATAGTTGAATTCACATATAATTTCGTGTCATCAACGTAAATGGAAATCTTACTGGCTACAAAGTGGAAGATCACTAGTGTAGACACAAAAAAAGTAGCGGTCCAAGTATTGATCCTTGTGGGACTCCACAAAATTCTAATAGCAAGCAAGCAATAGAATCCTAGCCTGTGAGACGTGCACACCTCTTTAAAAATGGCATGTAGGTGTTACAATTTATTGGTGGATTGATTTGCGTAAATCAAGAATAGCTTCACCCCACCCCAATGCTCCAGACCATCTCTTTTCCTCTACAGAACTCTGATGCTCTATAGAGGCAACAAATCAGCAAAATGCTTGTCACATGAAAAGCCTGGGTACAATAACTTGCATCTTTAAGTACAGCCGTCACATTTTCAAAGATTGTTTCTTTTTCCATGCTGTTTGTGTTGCTTATGGTTTGTTTGTTCTTTTTTAAACCCAAACTTATACGTAATTTAAATTCGATGGTCAAAGTGTTAAAAAATCCTAGACAACAATCAATAGCACATGACCTCGACGAAAAAAAAACACGAGTTCCTATAATTTTTAATCAGTCGATCGATCATCTGATCGATCATGATATAACCATCAACAATAATTTTAATTAACTCCGAACATAGACCATACACACACAGCTTAAGTTGTTATAGTTTTTTTTTTTTTCGGGTTTAATTTGTGTGTCACTCAGTCGTTGGGATGTTGTTTATTAGTACAATTTAGTGAATATATAGAATATATTCATGTGGAAAGAACATGAGTAACGCGTCTCTCTTTATGACTTAAATGAGACCGAGACAGAAGGCGGCAAGATGTGCTGAGGCTGTAGAGGGTCCTGCATAAGAGTAGCACCGAGCACGACGTAGATCGATTAGAATGTATATATATATATATATATATATATATATATATATATATATATATATATATATATATAAATAGTAGTCGATAATAATCTTGTTTCACTCATTAATCCTTGTGTGTT